CTTGCCTTGCCTTGCCTTGCCTTGCCTTGCCTTGCCTTGCCTTGCCTGCCTGCGTGCGTGCGTGCCTGCGTGCCTGCGTGCCTGCGTGCCTGCGTGCCTGCGTGCGTGCGTGCGTGCTTGCGTGGTTGTGTGCTTGCGTGCGTGCGTGCGTGCGTGCGTGCTTGCTTGCTTGCCGGCTGGCTGGCTGGCTGGCTGGCTGGCTGGCTGCATGTTTGCTCCTGCTGGTGTGCTGCTGCTATTGCTGTTGCTGTCGTTGTGGTGGTGGTAGCTGCTGCTGCTGCTGGTGTAAATGCCTACTGCGGCTGCTTCCGCAAAGGAATTTGAATAGTTTCGTATAAAACCAAAACAGTCTTCAAACACTAAAACACCTGATGTGACCCTGATGTGACCCCTAACAGTTGAGATCCGTCCAAAAGTCTTGGAACCAAAAGCTTTACATCGGTAGGTCATACATTGAGCATACATTGAAAACGGGTGAGGAAAACCCAAGACCGATGCCTTTGTATCATACATAAGTACATACGTACGTACATACTACTACTCTACTACTACTGCTGCTCCTGCTACTGCTCCTCCTGCTCCTACTCCTGCTGCTACTCCTCCTCCTCCTCCTACTACTACTACCTACTATTACCTACTACTACCTACTAGCTACTACTTACTGCTTACTACTTACTACTTACTACCTACTACCTACTACCTATACTATAAACTACCTACGACCTACTACCTGCTACCTGCTTCCTGCTACCTGCTACCTCCTACCTACTACCTACTACCTACTACCTACTACCTACTACTTCTACTTCTACTACTACTACTACTACCACTACCACTACCACTACCACTACCACTACTACTACTACTTCTACTTCTACTTCTACTTCTACTACTTCTACTACTACTACGACTACTTCTACTACTACTTCTACTACTACTACTACTACTACTAAATTTTGTGTTTTTCACCAGCGTGTTCAGACCGATGCCTAACCGATGCCCTAACCGATGCCACGGAGTGACTTCCAGACACCCGATCAAGGGACATGCCCACTCTAGAGCAGATTTTAGGGTTCAAACGACATGCCCAAGAGAAAGGAACTAGCAGCTGCATATGTGAGGTCCTTGAACTTGTGAAAAGTTGTATGCTTTGCTGTCCGTTGCTTCGCCATGTCCATGACTATACTTTTTCTTGGAAACATACAGTATGTTAGTGAAATTCACCAAACATTGGAAACCGATGAGGAAAACCCAATCCCGATGCCCTGTCCTAATGACCGCTCCCAGATGTAGGGAATTTTGGACCGACCTCAGTTTTCCAGTCACCTGATGTGACTAATATTGGTGACAGTAATTAATACATTATTAGTTGGGCCATGTGTTCTTTCATGGTATTGTGGAGGCCAGGCCTTGTAGCGAGGCAAACCTTAATCATTGCATTCCATCCAACGATTCGAATGACGAACGTGACACATCTTCAATTATCGTCGTGGTCTTCCGTGCAGTGTGAGGAATCGAATGGCCAGTCCGTACAACGGTTCACGTGGTCGTTCGTGCAGCGGAATACCCAGGTGAGGACTCTGATTCTGATTGCTTCTGCCGAGAAAAGCTCTTGCAGCACCGTTCTTCGGGCTCCGGCATGAACAGCCTGGGATTTCGTACAGATAAAGTTGGCACTGCAGATGAGACTCCAGGAGCAGTCTGAGAAGTGATAGATGACATATGTCTATGTATGAGTCATCTAGGTAAGTTTCAAGGAATTACACAGATGATGGGCGCCCTGCGTTCTCTTGCAGCCAAGGTAAGGCGTGATTATAGGGATCATTCTGCAGAAGAATTGCAGGTTTGATCTACAGATTTGAACACCCATGAATCATCCTACTGCTTCTCAAGGATGGGATCCAGAGTTAGACTACAGATGCTACAGGGTCATTCAAAGTTGCTTGCAGATCTGACGCTGATGCTGTGGTTGTGCACATCTTCGTAGGAGAGGTCAGCACTGCACGCTTGTGTCACCAGCTTGAGCATGTCAAGTCTGGTCGCCAACGCGTCAGTGAAATTCGGTGCTTTCGTTGCACTCAATTCAGATTGGAGTGGCTGGTCGTGTGACGAGTCTATCGCTGATCACTGATCATCGATGATATTGATACATACTGATGCTGCATCCTCCTGGTTTCCGCAGCTGATCTCCTCTGGTGTTTCTGTAGCTGAACACGTGGTGTTGAGCCATGTGCAATTGTGGGGACTGCACCACCTACGGGGAGGTGAAACTGGATTGGTGTGCTGAGTCCCTGCTGTATTTGGCAGTAGTCAGGGCTGCAATTACTTGCAGTCAAGTCGCACAGTTCAAGGCAAGGGAATTTCATAGTTGTACGCAAGGTGGCAATTGTTTTGTGCTTGTTTATGTTTTTTTCTTTCCCAGAGGCCCGAGGCTTCACAGAAACCCTTTTTTTAAACTATTAGAGCTCCTGCTAGGTGTAGTGCCTGAGGTGCGACGGGGAATCTAAAGCAGCCCTGTTAGGAGACCAACCAGCTTGTTGCTGTAGGCCTTGTTCTGCACCGGGATGGAGTCTGTGGCTGTTGGACCCACTCAGCGAGGAAACGCGGTTGACCAGTCGGTTGACTCATACAATGGTTACAAACGCTCCATCCATCCAACGCTCCATCCCGTGCAATGAGCTGTTTCATGTTCAATGCAAGCTGCAAGAAAATGTGGTAGGAAAAAAGGAACAAAGAGAGCTTTTGCTCGCTGCAGCAGCTTGGAGATTCTCGGCTTGCTTGAGCTTGAGCTTGCCAAAATGATAACCCAAGAAGATCCACCCACGTGACATTAAGGATGCACACTCAGATAAGCTAACTTTAGACTTGGCCTAGGCCTAGGCCTATTTCGAACAGATCTATGATGTTTTGGACGTGCTATACACTGTACACTGATAGTTTCGGTACGTTGCGCATCATCCAAGAGGGCAACCCATGTTTGCTGGAAGCGTTGTTTAAAGACAACGTGCACCCTATATAGCTTGTTCCTGATGGATTCCAGTTGCTGCTCATCCAGTTGATTTACTCACCAATGCATTTGCTTGGCCCGAACAATAAGGAACATTTTTGTTTGCATACTGCTGAATACTGTTCATTGTGAGGTTCGGACCAGGGTTCAACATCCTTCCCATTTCTTTTGCCGAGCTCCATGCTGACAGGGGTCCCTCTCCAATGACTTCCATGCCTTGCTGTCCAAGACCATTTCGGAGACTGCAAACAAGACAAACATTTTCCGTAGTGTGAACTCTTCATGTGTTCCTGACGGCATTGTCGTTAGAAGAGATGTCAAGAGTCAAGACGGTGAAGCTGAGAAAGAAGAAAGAACCGCTCATTTAGATTCGTCTCGTCATCCTCATTGGATGCAATTTTGTATATTGAGCACGTATCATATGGGGCAAGCTGAGGCGAGGAACGCGAATCATCCTGAATTCATCCTGGATCGATGGAACCAAGCCACGAAACAGACAGGCAAACAAAGAACGGATCGCATTAACAATAATATATACACTAGTATATGTTAATATCATATATATATACATATAATAAGGTGCTAGAGCTTCTGTCAGAATTGAGTAAAGACATCGTGGCTTGCCCTAAAACGTGTGTGGCTTGCCGAGTTTTGCCGAAGCCATGGTTTAGACACATCGGCATGCATCGTTGGTATGGTACCTGCGCCTCCAAAATGTCCTCCAAAAGATACACACTCGGTATGCAGATGTATGCAGTATACCCTTCCCTCAAATATGGAAATGGACAACTAGAGTATGGTCTTCCTGGAGGCCATTGTCTACTTCCATGTTTGTTGGAGAAAAGCTTACACAAGCTGGTACACGGATACACAGATTATTGACATTCATGACTCCATGACATATTCATGATCGGATCACGACTGCATTGGCCCAAAGTAGAGAGATCGCGAGGTATTTGTACTATACAGTAAGGGGACCACAGACCACGCAACCTTGTTGCACTTGCGGGAAGACATGGATTTGGGACAGAATCTATTGAACATTGAACGACATTGAAAGACCACGTAGTTGTGTGGTGTTGATGCCACAGGCTTTGGCAGGATTTGGAGCTATTCCATGCCATGCCTGGAGCGTTCGTTCCATGCCAGGAGTTGAAGACCTTCAAACATGCGGCCGGGCGATGCATTGAGGAGTACTTCGTGACCAGCAACGCTGAAGAGGCCATCGGAGTACTCGAGTACTGATTAGAGGGGTAGGCCGCGAAGAGGTAGGGAGCTAGGTAGGTAGCTAGTAGAAGAGGTAGCTACTAGTAGTAGCTTATATAAGTAGCTAATTTCTACTGACAGGACGCAGGATAGCTCACGCTTCTTCATGTTTTCTCTCACAGACTCTCGTGATGTCGCTCTGCACAGGTGGGCACGGTTTTACAGGAGCTGGGCATGACAACGTACCATCATGAGTTTGTAAAGAAGGCGCGGATGGGGATAGGAGTTCCGCTGTGGGGGGAAATTAACTTGTTGGTAGCCTACAAAGATGCAAGATCGAATTTTAAGTGGGCATCCAAAAGCCAGCTTATACCTTGAGCCTCCTGAGTCCGCTTTTTGTTTTTGGCAGCACTAACCAGAGGTTTTCGCGCTGGCCAGCGTCGCGTGGGGACGGATGGGATGCGCGTCGCTGGCCGTCCGAGGCCGTCACCATGTCCTTCTCACAGTCCAATGAGTCGGCCGGCCGTGAGGTGGGGGCGACGTCCTGGACGGAGCGTTTGTTCGGAGTGTCCGGTGGTTCCGGATTTCGATAGTGAGTGTCAGGTGGTTCCAAACGGTTTTTCGGGATTTTGAAGCCTCTTTTCTGTTATGTTGTTTTTTGTTTGATTCGAAGTTTGATCGAATCAGCATGGTGATGTTCATCAAAGGATATCAAAGGTGTAGCAGTGTTTGGAGATGTTTGGAGTGACATGCAGCAGAGCAGCTAGAATGTTGCTTGGAAGTCCAAGGCAGTGTTGCAGCTGCTGGCAACTCTTTGTAGCGAGGGCATCCTCACAAAGGACCGCTGCGCACTCTGACATGTCACATGTCTCACGTCTAGTATTGTGGAGAGTCGCTGTTGGCGTCCATTGAGATTTTCTGGTAAGGAGAGCTTTGCCAAAGTGTCCAATGATTTCTAATTATTTGCTGTCAGGATGATATCCAGTCTGAGACTCAGCCAGGGATGGGTAAATTTGGGGTCGAATGACATCGAAAGAATTCAATTTTTGTGCATGGTTCTGGCGTCAGTTCCTCCCAACAAAAATATGAAACGGCCTGTGGGAACGAGCAACGAGCAACGCTCCAGCGTGCGCAACGCGCTCCACGGCAATGCTCCAGCGGCATTGCCCGACCGACCGGAGCTGCACATCTTCAGCACATTTGAGACCGAGGGAAGCACATTCTGTAGATGGTTGATTCATAAACCCTTAACTTTTCAGGACTGCAGAGGTTTTACGTTGTAAAACACAACTCCATATGGTGGGGTTTTAGGAAAATCAAGCGTCTACATTACTTGATGTCTTGATCATACTCGCAAGATGTGGCCACCGCTCTATTTTGGACTGGGTCAGCTTTGAACAACGCCAGCTTCTGCTTGATTCTTGAAATCTCAGGTGGGGAACAACCCGGCTTCTGGGTCACTTGGCAGCATTTTCTCAGTTTCGGTTACGACTGATCCACTTGATAACAAGACACTGTTGGGACGTGACACGTCAGACCTTTCAGAAGGTTCATTCGGTCCCAAGCAGCATCCGGTCGAGCGGCGACATCACCTATTACATGTCCCTTTGTCAGCTCGATGTCCCTCAGTGTCAGCTGAGCTGCCAGGCCAAGTCACAGATCTTAGCCTGGACATTCCTCGCTGCTCCGAGATGCTGATAGAAGTCATCGTTCGGCCGGGGGGGCGACCGTTCGGGTGATGTGGATGACCTGTGTGATGTGCATGGAATCTTCGTTCTTGGGCCTAAGGGGAGTGCTCGTGTGGTTGTGTGTGTTCTTGTTCTTTTTTGCCAAACTTTGATTTGTTAAAATATATAGTATATAATTATAATATATATATACATTATATACATATTGGATAACGCATAAACTATATACAGTAGAATGGTAAGGCATAGGAAGACCAGATGTAGGACACTGACTTCTTATATAGGGTATTCTCGGTTTTGACATGAAGATGGTATTTAGGCTCCAGCTAAAACCTTCCTGAAATGGCGACGGAACAGAAGTCTATAATCTACGAGGTAGACTGAATGTGGACAATTTGTAGATCTATTTGTCAAAATACTGCCAGCTTGTCAAGATTAGATGTATATATATATATATTAGAATTAGACGGAGGTTTTCCGCACCATTTCTGAGAATGTACAAGTGTGGATCCCGGTCACCAACAGTTTCTGAAACATTCTGAAACCAATGCCATGGTTCTGAAACTATGTTTCAGAAACTGTGGATGTTTCGGAAACTACATATGTTTCCGAACCGTGATTCCAAAACTACATGGTTGCCTATGTTTGGGACACTGTTTGGAATGTTTCGGAACTTCGAAACCACCTGACTCCCCTCAAAGCTAGCAAGTGCCTACACGAAGTTACATACTACCTATTGCAAGGATGTTGACAGACATGTCCTAATAGCGTCCTTGCTCCTAGTAGCGATGCCAGGAGCCCCTAGTAGCGTCCTTGCTCCTAGTAGTAGTTTCAGAGGCGTGGTGTTTGAAGCACATAGATTCTGAAGCGTAGTTTCTGGAGCGTCGTGGCTTAGGGCCATGGCTTCTGAAGCGCGCTTAGTTTCTGAGCGCGGTTTCTGAAATGGAGTTGAATGGTGAATCACACTGGAATACTGGACCAACTCGGGTCATGAATCCGCAAATGGAGTTTACCAGCTGCTCAGCTACTTAAGGCTTTTGGGCTTTGGGTGCATTGGCATTCGCTTGAGAGCACATCCTACGCAGGCTTCTCACAGATGAGCTTGTAAGTGCTCCATTTCTTCGTCGTTGCCGCCAGACACTGAGATGCCAGTCTCGCATTGGGCCTTCGTTGAGTGTCTAAACGTATTTGCTCGTTGGAGTCTCGCAACATTGGGCCAGATCAGCACAGTGCTTGGTCTGGGCATCCCAGTGCTTGGTCACTCCCTGTCAACCTTCTCGGACCTCTTGGATCATGCTTGCTTTTATCATTTTTTATCCGATCCTCGGCGTTGTGTTAGTTTTCATGATTCACTCAGAGATCGAGTTCGCGCATGGAGGTCATCTTTTTTTTGACACCAACAGCTTTAACTCGCAATTGGAGAACTTAACTGACTTACTTCTGAAACCAACCTGTGAGTCCATTTCGGAATTCAAAACGGCCCATGCGACCCCTGTTCAACGGATGCTTTTCCAACCGGCAGAGCTCCGGCTTCCAACCGGCAGAATCAAGGCCTTCTGCGGATCGGAGACGGGGCTGGATTGAAGGTGCTGGAGGCAAGAGACATTGGCTGAAACGATTCTTTACACGTTTTGTTTTCTTCTCCAGGGCGGAGGCATGTTCATCCTCCAATTAGGTAGGGGCCATTAGGCTAGTGTTCGACTACATGAGTCCACACCACATGGCTCAACTGTCTTGAACTGATGTCTCAGGCGGTACAGCGCAGGACGCCAGAGTGCGCCAAGAGCAGCATGTGCAAGACCTGGTAATGGAGCTAGTTGGGACAAGATTCATTCCACCCGGGCAATGGTCAGTAGAAAGACTATCATCCTTTCAGGGTCAGCTTCAAAGGGATCTCTTGAGCGTCACGCTTGATCTTCAGGTACAGCAAAAAGCAGTTGAGCACTGCTGCTTTTAAGCCCAGCGCTTGGTCTGGTCCAAGATTACCAACCAGATGTGAGCTCGCCTCACAGAAAAAAAAGAAAAATGTAACATTTAAACTGTGTATACTGTCTAATTAGAATAGACATATTGAGAGAGAGAGAGAGGGGCCAGGAAGGTCAAAGTCGGCTGCCTCGAGGAAGGAGATCCAAAACATGATTCTGGAATACTTCAATTCTGGCGACCAGGCGGAGGTGCCCGGCATGGACACTTCAGCGGGCGCTCGTGCGACAGCAGTCTTAGAGTGTTTGACACAAGGCCTTTTTGTCTGACACACACACACATTGTCATATTATGAAAGTCTCCCCAAATTCCTGTAGCGCACCTTTTGAATTTTCTCGGAAAGCATGCTGGTGGCGTTGAATTGTTGAGCGAGTTGAGCGATGAACAAGGTCTCCCGCGTAAAACGTTGAACAATAAACACCACTGCACCACCTAGTGGGTCAAGACAAAGGTTTTTAGCCTCTCCCCGGACTTTCCCAGTGGTTGCTGCGGGCGTCATGCGACTGCATAGGCTTCTTTTCTTCAGGGGCGCGACGTGCGTTTCCTCTTTGGTCACGGTCACGTCGTGTGAACTCCACTTCTCAAACTGCGCCATCCACCTGCCACCTGTTGTGGTCAGCGGTGAACACATGCCACTTTGCACGAGCAAAAACACCACAGCTCTACGGATTCACCGGTGAAAGCACAGCAAAGCACCGCCACCAGGCCATGCCATGCCACCAGGGGGTAAGACCGGTAAGGGCGTTGATCATGCACCACGTGACCAGCCGTACACAGTGCTACTCTCCGTTAGAGGCCAAAACACATCATTTCTCCAGGGGCCATCGCTTTACCAACAGCAAGAAGTTCAAGAAGCTCCTTTTTATATGCCCACGAAAGTGGGGCCAACTCACCAGCAGGAAGACAGCAGCGCTAAGAACCTACTTACATCTATTTACCAGTAGAAGATCCAACCTTAAATAGCACAGAGATGCAAGACACAACCTGACCAGTCGCATACCTAACAGTTAGAACAGAAGCTGGACAAACGAACAAAATGTGATTTTCATCAACAAGCTCAGGGTCAAGTCACCTTGTAGGCAACATGTGAAAATCAGAAGACTTCCTGTCAAGATTTGTCGAGCCAATCACTGAATCACTCTCCCATGATGGGCTCACGGGTTTGTATAATGAAATGCTCCCACCATAAGCTGACGAAATTACGAAGTGAAAACGACACCAAGTCACCAAGACAGGTTGGTCAGTCTCAAAGGAGGAATCCACAGATCGGAGAACATTCTTGACAAACTGCTGCCAGTTCGGCCGCTGCATTCGGGAGCTGACCCCCCTGGTGTGGTGGCCTGGGAAGACTGGGCAGAGCTGGAGAATGCTTTTTGGTACGCAAAACATCACATTGCTGTGGATTTGTTTTGCATCTTTACACTGTCCTATTCCTTTTTTTGACGAAGAGAGCAACAACCTAAGCTCCTGAAAGTACTGGTGGGCAGAGTGAAATTTCTTGGGCGCTGCTTTTGATTCTGTTGACCCGGAGACGTTACCAACTCGAAGACCAATCTCCAGAGACGCTTATTGTGCCCAGTCCCCAGCGCAGAGCGCAGAGCTGGTTCGCAAGGCAGGACTTCACTTCGGAAGAATGCGAAGTCTTGACATTGATAACTGTTGTTTCTTCTCAGCGATTCTGTCATTTTTTGTTGTTTGTCAGGCTGGTCATGTGAATTTGAGCTAGTTATATAGTGATAGCCAGCAAAAGGTGATTGGGTCAAGAGTGCTACGTGGAGCGATCGAGCGATCGATGAGAATGGTGAGACCGGTGCCGAGAAATCGCTAGGTTTTCCCATGCCCTTCGATCGGAAACTTCCGAGCATTCAGTTGTTTCGCCAAGATGAAGCCTCGATTGAACAAGACCCACCACCCATCGTTCTGACATTGCGAGATCATGGTCTTCGCGATGGAGCGCACCGGTGTTGAGCCTCCTTCCCAGTGCATTAAATAGCTTGAGAGTTGTTTAGAACTCCAGTCTATGCAATGTTTGGCTGGCTTCGTTCTAGCCACAGGTTTCCAATAACTGCACAAAACAATAGTTCGAAGCTTCATTTATATATTCGACTCTTTGCTACATCATTGCCACCTATGCAAAGTTTCGTTTTCTAGCACTGCTCTCAATCCATTTGAATCCCGCAAAATGTTTGCATAAAGGATGGCCTGAAGGAAACCAGTCGGCTGTGATGTGAAGATATGTGAAGCACGTCGTGGCCTGGTGAGGTGTGAGCTTTCGCTGAAGCTCCTCGTTTGGATCATCAGAAATGAGGCTCCGATAGACACTGACAATGAATAGGTCACGATAATAAAGTCATATAAAATCCATTAAACAACATTGAAAACACGATAAACAATAATAGACAGTGACAGCCTTGCATGCAGTTCAATGTTCCAACTTTCCGTGCTGCTTTCGGATGTTTTCTTGGTGGCATTCAACTGTCCAGAAGTCTGCTGCTGATCGAAGGAATTTGCACTGATCTTTAATTTCAAACAGTTTGATACGTTTTGTTTCACATGTTTTCTTGTATTTATAGGTATAATACTTATATTATATATTCATAATCTAGAGCTGCTGTCAAAGTATTTAGGTGGCTGGATTCACTAAACGACATCTAATAGATCATTTCAACGACCCCTCAATTAAATTACCACAATTGGCCGCCCTTTGTAGTGGCTTGTCAGCTTGTCTTTGTTCTGGCTCATATTGTGGGCGTAGCATGGTCAAACCGTTAAGCTGTCCATGTCAACCGATATTGCCCTCGGCTCATGTTTGCAGGAGCTGACTCCCAAAGACATCGAGAACGGATTCGACGCTGGGCTGGATTTAGACGCCGGTCGGGAACAGGTGGTGCACAAGTGGCTTGGCCATGCTGCACTTCAATACATTGCAAACATACATGTGTTGCCTCTTCAAGAGCTACCAGGGAATTCAAACAACTGCCTTGAAAACTTCAACATGGAGGCAGCACAGATGACTGAAACGAAGGGGGAAACAATGGCTTCTCAAAAGGGGTTCCTTTTGTTGACCTGTGGTCAGCAGCTCTTGCACACCACTTGTGAACGTTGTTTTGCCTCAAGAGTTCTTTTTTGGGATCTCAAAGCCTGTTGTTGCCTGGCCAGAGCTCGTGCTCCCAGATTTGAGCGCCTGCAAGGCATCAATGACGATGGGGTTTGCCGGGCTATTTCTTTGATGTATTTGGAGTATGTTCTTGGTTGCAATCCTCACCATGGCGACCGGGATGAGTTTGGCAGAGCCCCTGATCCCATGCCTGAGCATGGTTGGATTCCGGAGGCGGTGTTCCGCCCGTCCGAACGGTTGGCGAATGAGCTGTATGATGAATCTGATTTTGCAAAAACGCTTTCCGAACGACGTGAACCGGCACCCTTTTTGTTGGACAGCATGCCTAGCCTGGTGTTGTTTGAGAAGGTCAGTGACCTCGTCAATGATTATGATGAAGCAATGCAGAAAGTACTGCCTTTCTTGGAACAAGGCTTAGGCTTTGTATTCTCTTTCTATTATTACAGGCTTGACGAGGATGGCGAGCCGAAAGGGGCTCATGCCATTGCTATCGACGTGACAGGGCACCCAGCAGGTTCCCACGTGATGGATCCGAACAGAGGGGTATGGCAGTTTAGATCCATTGAAGATCTCATTGTTTGGATGAAAGATGGCGAGCTGGTGAGCGATAGACATGGCCGACGAGTGAAGAAGTTGTACAAGGTTCGACTAGTTCAAGTGACCCGGCATGAGTGAGGCCCAGTCGCTCTGCCAAGCATCGCCTTAGCTGTGTGAGCCGTCCTTGTCCCCAACGAGCATAGACTTGGAGGACAGAACTCATCGATGACTCGTCATGTAGCGGACTGCCAGCCCACGAGTCTTGCGAATGTCTCAAGGTGATCAATGTGATCGTCACAAGGGGGCAGCGCGTAGAAAAGGAGCTCCACTAATCACAAATGGTGCAGCATTTGGCCCGGCAAGTTTGTTCTTTGAGTGGGACTTTCTTTGTGCAGATGAATAACTGAACAAGTTTCTGTTGTTGCTGAGGATGACATGTACAGGCACATGCCTGACATTCTGTGCGCGGCCAAGACGTGCGTACCAGCAAGATGGTAGACAAGTCGACACAGAAGTGATCCATCCTAGCAATTTCATGCAATTTCATACGATGCAGCAAGGAACTTGTTTACAAGAATACAAGTAGAGGAATATAAAGGACATGTCCAAGCGCATGTCCCATATGCCATAGTTACATCGCCATACACATTGACTCATTTCAAAGAGATGAGCTTGGCTGAGGCTCGATGTCCCAGATGCTGAGGAGATGGCGCGCACCTTTGTGGTTGAGGCGCGGAGGGAGCAATGTCGAAACAGCTGAGGAAAATATTATATTCTTTGCGTTCTTTGGAAGAAATGATTTGATTGGAGGACTTTTCTTTTTGAATTCTTCACTATCATCCATTGGCATAGACATAGACGTACATAAATCAAGAACTGATTCCAGTAGTTTATATTATCATTTAGACTTTTTCTGATATCTTGCTAACACATCTAACACTATGTTTGCCTTTTTCAGGACTCACAGATATCAATCAAAATCCACCATTGCTGTGATTCACTGTTGCAGGATGGAAGTCAGCCCAAGCTGTAGACTTGACATGAAGTATATAGAATATAGCTAGAGCAGCAGACACGTGCTTGACATGAATGTTGTCCTTTTCCATGGATGGAAAACCAACCGTGAACGATGAACTTGCCACTGACCAGTCCAAACACCAGCAGCTGACCGTGGGCCGGTTGGGGATGGGAGGAGTTCTAGGGATGCTTGTGGTGGACCAGCAACAGTATTTCGTAGGTCAAGAGCAAGATTTTGAATAGAATCACAATCGGTGAACCAGGCAAGTTGCTCCCAGAGAGAACATTGCAATCCGCACAGGTTTGTTTGGCACACATTTTATGCTCTGAAAGCTGTACGCTTATACGCTTAAACAGAGAAACATATTCTCCAAGACCGCGTGTAGCAATGAGTACGGAGTACGAACATCACGCAGGCCACACGGTCTTTTTCTATTTGTACAACTGATGCAGTGCTTGGCCAGGGTTGTGATGGGCATGTGTGGATGGGTTCTGTATTACCGATGGACCGCCTTGGCCGCGATCAGGCCATGAAAAGCAAGGTGCTGCGGGAGACGTGGCCGGACCCAGAAGAGCCAGATGAGTGAGCGAGAGCATGAGCTGATGGCATGAGCATGAGCTGGATGGCTCATATCACCTGGTCTGATTGGTTTGTGACCTGGCATGGTTTGCCCTAGTTTCACTTGAGGGGGTTGTGCATGATGAATGAAGCACAGGGGTTCTAATCTATGAAGATCTAGGGAGCATGGTTCAGACCGCCTGTTGCAGTCCATGGTCTAAGTTGCTAGTCTTGCAGACGGAAACAATTGCTACTCTTCCTGAACTCGCATAGCACCCCATACAGGGGGTAGAATTACGTAGAATATTTCAACATATTTCAATGAATTGGTTTAAGGAAAAATCTGCAGGACACCCATGTTTTCATCCCCCAAACTATGGTTTTCCTGTAGATTTTCCCTTAGGCCAATTCTGGGAATATTGCTTGAAGGGAATCATACACCAGTTGGCAGTTGAGTACAGTACACTTTCAGTACCATCGTTTTGACACGTTGGTAGAGCCTTTCCATCAGGAACCCTGAAGGCCACTCCCTGTTTAATATCAAATTCAACCACTTCTCCTCCACCTATGTGTCCTCCCAACCCCAACTCAGACATCTTCATCCATACTCCGGCAGATAGAACATCCGGCATTCATGAAAATTCCAAATCAATACATCACAATCAAAACTTAATCAACACCTTAATCTACTCCGGACGTTGTACTTTTTAGGTCTCATAATATTTGCTGAATGAAAGGACACAGATACTGTAGCAGCGAGTGCCACAAGCTGCCATCACTTCGTTCACTGCTGGCGGCATCGGTTGCAGAGCATCGGCTGGCGGCCTGCGCCGGAGTGCTTCTATGGACGTCTCCATTTGAATCTCCTCCAGATGCACATTGAGTGGAGCTCCACTTGGACTGCCCGTTTCGCATCGATTTCTTGAAGCGAACCTAGAAAAAGCACAAACACACACTGTTTAGTACTCGAGGATACCCGTGTTTGCAACGACCTCTTACAATTTGGGCACTCCAAATCAAAGACCGAGTGCAGCTCCACTGGTTCGAAGGTACCGGCGCGTGTGACAGCGGAGACAGCCAGTGGTTTCCAAGAACTGAGAACCTCAACGCGTATGACATCATGTTGCTAGGCCCTCGATGCATAATTTTGGGCCACACAGCAGAGTCTAGATTTTTGGGTTCACCGTGCCATGTCTACTTGGTGAGGTATGTATGGAGCCCATCCTTCTGATGATAGATGCATGGTCAGTTCCTGAACAATAGACAGGTCGGATTCGGATGCTTTCTTAAGCTGAGCTTGGGATCTGTGTATATACATACACTATATTTATACATAATCTAAATAAATATATATATATGCATATGTTGCAACTTATCATTTGATGCAGAAACATGTCCACACTCGAAACAGAATGAAACAGATGACTTGCCTTGTATTCCGCTGGGATATTTGCATGCAGCTTGCAGGCGAATCTTCCGTGGTTGCTCATTTTTGTCAGATCGTTCTTAGTGCCTGATTGATGGTACACACACCAAGTCAGCTGTTTGAGAGCAAATGCGGCACAAAGAGCGGTTTTGGGGCAAAGTTGACAGGCAAAGAGGAAAGAAGTGTGGAGTCAAGAACCAGCATCCAAAATAGCCGTAATGATTATAATGTCTTCCAATGAAACATCAAGCACATCATGGAAAGAACTGGAAAGAACTGATGTCAAGCTTGTGGATGATGTACAGCTAGTTTCGAGGCGACCCCTTTGCCTAGACTTCGCCTGGTAGGAGTTACGATGGTCGCCCTCGCTGGCAGTAATTCATGCAACTCGAAAGGGCTGCAGTATGTTGAGCCTTTCTTGAGCCCCGCGAATAAAGGGCGATTCCGCATACAGAGGGCGTGGTTTCGAAGAACGACATGTTGCACAGACGAAGTTTCGCCTTGGCGAGGCTCAAGAATCTACATAGAATTGCTGCTTTCTTTTGCAGCACTGGCTGCCTCCTGTTCCTTTGGGCTGCATTCGTTGCCAGCTCACTCAATCCGATTCAATCCGAGCGGCCTCCGCAATTGATGGTGATAGGGCTCCCGGCTCACAATTCAAAGTTTTTGCAGCGCTGTGGAGCATTGCGGAGTTGCCTCACTAGATGGGTGAGCTGGCAGCAAGCAGCGCGCCTTGTACAGGGACTGCAGCTGGCCATATGGTACAGGGCAGACCATGGATGAAACAGGAAAGGGCCAACCGCCAACCATCAAGCTTGAATGTTGTTTGCAATAGTGATGTTATCATGTTTATCAACCAGATCAAACTGCAATCATTTGTCAGAGCGAGTAGCGAGGCGCGTCGAGCCGGACAGCACAAGGGGAACAAGACATATTGGATCTGTTTTCGGATGTTTTTTACAGCTCTTGGCAAAGGCTGTGCAGCGGCACAGCAGTCTCACGAGGGGTATGAAACCTCAGCCCGGTTTGCGAGCCCCAAACGAGTGACCGACCAGAACGATCGATTTCGGCAGCTTGCAAACAAGTGACCGACCAGCGGAGTCGGGGGGCTGCCATGATAGAACACCGCTCCCATGTCCGATCAGGCAAGAGAGGAGCGATTATGCCGAAGCTATGCACTAGAGACAGAGATGTGTGCATAACAAAAAGGAATGCGGGGCTTCGGGACGGCCTCGGTGCGGCTTTCTCTTTCACTTCAGAAAGTATTCAGAGTGAACATGCTGGAACTGGGATTTGTGAAAAAAAGAAGACACATGTTGTTGTTTTGAGATTTTGTTGGGAAGTTTTCAAGGCTTCCTTCTTTTTTTTCTGCTTTCCATTGGTTTTGTTATGGCATAGTGTCTTCGAAGCTGTGTGGCAATTGAAGTCTGTGGAAGATCACAGGGACTTGTTAAATCGTACTACTTCATGCGGTTTAAGATTGGCAGCACAGCCACTAGACGGATGTAATTTGTTCGTTTGCGGCATGACCTTCGTGCATAGTTACAGTAATTACAGTAAGTTAGTTTTCAGCCACAATGTTTCACGAGAATCAAATCGCGCATTCCAATCAAGCGCGCTGGTTCAAGCTGCATCAAGTTCCCAAGTTGCACACCCTTCTATAGATCCCAGCCATGTCTCTCAAGCTTTTGCTTGCTGTGCTTTTGCAGCCCAGCTTGGCAAAAGTCTATCAGGGCACTATGAGCATGTGGAGTGAAACGAAAGACACCTTAGTAGCTTACAAGAGCGAGGGCAGTGCCTGCAAATTTGCAGATCGATTGATGGGAGGCCTGAATTCTGCTACAGCGCAAACACCCTACATCACTAGCAAGAACTACTGTGCAGTGAATCGTGGCCTCTTTGGGAATGGTGAGATTTGCGGTCGATGCTATCGTCTCACTTATAAAGGTGGTCACGAGCAAGGTCTCGGGCGTCCTGGTAGCGATGTGGTGCAGATCGTGGATTCAGGCAGTTGGGCAACATTTGACTGTCACATGACGGCCTTCAACAAGATTACCGACTACAACACAGGCTTCTTCCCTGTGAGCTATGAGGAAGTCCCCTGCAACACAGCCTCCCAGGGCCCCGTGGTTGGAGTTCTGCAATATGACTACTACTGGACGAAGTTTGTCTTCAGCAACCTCCGCTATCCGGTGAAGTCAGCAGATCTCATCATCGGCGGCAAGACACATCACATGAAGCTCGTTGGTGGCTATTGGGGTGCGTGGACAGGTCCAATCACTGGGGAGACCTCCTTTAAGATAACCGAAGAGAATGGTTACCAAGTGACCTTCAACAATTGCTTCGGCGGCTGGAAGAACCGAAAGACGGGTGATGCATGCTACACAAATGGACGTTCCAAAGCGGCCCTCCCGCCTCCAGAGCCAGAGGTCGGCTCCTCGTTGCGAGGTGCAAAACACAATACCTCGAATGCGACAGAGATGGAAGCGCCGGAAACTCCTTTGTATCCTTAGACGATGGCATGACCCTTGGGACAGCAATGGCATGGAGCCACTAATCCTATTTTTTGGCCTGAATGGCCTGGCTGTGCTTAAAGAAGCAGAGCGAAACGTGGTCATGATAGGCGGTTAATGGTGAATTCAGTTGTGTACAAGTCCGCAACCTTTTGATCTTGCATGGGAGGCATGTCAGACATGCTCGCAAGTACATTGCTTTAGACTTGCAAAAGCATTGGAAAGGACAAACAAACATCGCACATCATCACGCCATTTTCGGAAAAAGCCCATGTAGATGCGACCATGATGTGACCCATCGGAGGTTGGGGGCTGATCATGCCTGTCAAAGCGCCGCGCTCTGCGTTGCTCTCGGCTCGAGAAGGCAGACGGCCTAAGGCCTGTGTAGCCATGGTTTCGAGGGAGACCTCAGGCGGGCCCGATGACTTCCATGTAGTTTCTAATAGCTTCTTGTTACTACCAGTAAGGCACTTGTTACTAGAAGCGATGCACTTGTTCCTACTAGCTTCTTGTTACTACTAGTAAGACACTTGTTACTAGAAGCGATGCACTTGTTCCTAGTGGCTTCTTGTTACTACTAGTAAGGCACTTGTTACTAGAAGCGATGCACTTGTTCCTAGTAGCTTCTTGTTACTACTAGTAAGGCCCTTGCTCCTAGTAGCGATGCACTTGTTCCTAGTAGCTTATTGTTATAGTGAAAAGCGGGCGTGAATTGTTGAATTGGGTTAAACCATGTTGAAAGCTGGGAAAGCAATGAAAAGCGATAGGCCCCCCCCGCAACAGCGGTCGCCATGTGGCTGCAGCTTTTTGGATATGTTCAGCATTGTTCAGAAAACTATCTTGAACGTGTGGCTCGTGCCTGAATAGCAATAGGCCCCGTTAAAAGGGGTATATAAGCTTGTTGAACCATGTCCTCTTCGTTAATATGACTTTTCGGTAGACGTTCATGTAGCAAGACCAGGCACAGTAATTAGGGATAGCTCAGGCTGGCTTCAATGATGTTTGACCATCCTCCGTGCTTGGTCCTCTATAAATAAATGATAATCGTTTGACACAAAAAAGAACGCGCATTTTAATGCTTTTTATAAGCTGGTTTTGGTGGCTTTTGGTGACCTCTCTCGGCATGCCTTGTGAACCCTTGCCAAGCATTTTTAAGAGGAGTGGGGTGCCGTGACATGCATTTTTTCATATGGCACTAGAGATCTGTTAACCTTTTCAAATTTCCTTTAAAATCCTTAACCTTCCCAACTGTCCCTAAAATCCTTAACCTTCCCACATTTCCCTTAAAACAACCCTAAGTTGCCCGAAAAGAAGGGAAACGCAAGAACGTAACTAAAGTTGAAGCCAGAACTCCAAGCCAGATGCAGGAACTAAAGCCATACTCGTTGGCCTCTTTAAACAAAGAACCTGAGATCCTATGTTCTTTTCTTTTGAGAACACTCCTTTCGGTTTCATTTTTTTCCTTCAAGAACCTGAGATGATCCGTTTCGCTCGGTCGACGTTTTGCCAGACGGGGATCTTTCACCACATTTTTTCTTCGGCCTCGTCTTCGGAAGCAGAGACGGGTGCAAAAGGGATCTCCGAATTGCCCAGTGGAGTTCTATAGGTTCTATGGTTTCTGGTTTGTCGTTTTGGGTGAACATAGTGATGGCCTTGGTAGAATGACATGGCCAGGCGGTACAGCACATATGTTTTTGTTTGATGAATGTATATGTTTTTGTTTCTGATTTGGAAAGTAAAAGCATGTTATCCCAGTATTTTGTGTCGTTCTTTTTGTTCTTTTCAGTTTTTCATGTTATGTTGCTATTGTATCACTTTATAGAGGCTTCACTTGTCCATCCCTCAGGTGATGTCTTACTACTGCTGCATTTTGCTTGGTATGCTAGAGAAACACCCTTGCCAGTCATTCTACTCTATAGAAATGTTATCTCTTGCCACCCATTCCAAAAGACACCACATCTCTATAAAATTCATGGCAAGTGATCCCAGTGGTATATAAAGCACGGAGGATGTTCTGCCATTTTCACTCCATGTTCTTTCTATGGAAAGAGCGATAACGAATCGAGAGAATTTGGAGTGTCACCATGCCTTCAAGTGTCCAGCCGAAGCTGTTTGAACCTGCCCAAGGATACCAACGCCCCAGCCGGGGCACGTCAAGCACATCTGTGCGAAAGCAGAGAAGAGACTGGGTCCTCAGTTGCTTTTCATTTCTCTTGAATCGTTGCAAGTTGGCAGACCCTGTTTGAGGCCGAACTGTTCAAGCGCAACGATCAACTTCGCACAAAAAAAACACACTCTTGGCACGTAGAGAGGGGGAGATGACCTTGAGGCAGAGCCGGAGAGCTTCTGCAGCATCGATGCAGGACGGTTGCAGAGAAGAGTTTAAAGGCAACGCCATGCCACAAACCACTGCAGAATCGTACTGCATGTCGCAGAACCAGTGGATGGCTATTTGTTGAGCGAATTGGAGCGCGCTCCTAGTTTTTGTTATTGCATCTTAGATATTGCACCTTGAAATACAATGATGCATAGAAGCACTTCATGTTTGCTTCACTTAGTGTGGTTGACAAACCTCGCTCCCCACCACTCAGACAAAGGAGCAGCAAAGCCACCCAACAACAAGGCATTGCGCAATCTGGTCGTCAACCTACCCGTAGTATTCGTAGCAGAAAAGGCCGAATGAACTCACCAGACTCACCACCTGACACTGCCTCAAACTGTTTGTTTCCTGTGAAACCACCTGCAAGCAAGCAGCCGTTACCAGTCCTTACCAGTGATGCATTCAGGTCTCCAAGTCATAGCTGTTGTACGCAAGACTGTTTGTTTGACTTGCCTGGTAACCAGGACAGGCTGACAAGTTGCCCAGACCGTGCATGGGCATAGATGCAGAGGCACAATCCTGTTGTTCATGCCTTTGTTCGTGCTCAGACTAGAGAATGTGAGCCTCTGGTTGGTCAAAGTGTGTTTCGGTGGCCCATCGGTTCTGTTTTCGAGGCACAGGTCAAAGGTCTGGCACTGTGTGAGCCTTTCTGCCCTCAAGCATCATCGTACTTGACTGAACAGTCTGGGCGCTTGCGGTGTCAGGCGGTGTACGGCGCCATTGAAGAGGAAGGGCCTGTGGATTTCTCGCCCACAAGTCCTAGCGGGCCCCTCAGAGCCGCTTCCGTCAGCGATGTTTGATGTTTCTCAGTTTTGGAGGGATGGTGTTGCAATGGCCTCCAACTTTTATAATAGCAACGGCCTCCAACCTAATAGCGATGGCCTCCCTAAAAGGTATCCACACACTGACACTGACGTATCAAACTTTTTGTCGGATGACCTCGATTCCCATCCCCCGTAGTTAAAGTTTGGACCATGGCTCAGCCAATGGTTTTGAGTGGACAAGAATCCCCTGACTTCAAACAGTTTTGCAAGTAACTGCTTGAGAGTTGTTCCACTTGATGTCCACCTTCTTGCTGTTCTACTTGTTCTTTCCGAGCACGACACATGGAGGCTGAATATTCGCACTCCTCGCACTTTATATATATATTTGTGGTGCCTCTCTACAAAGCGGGGAAACCGACCCTTTTTGCACCCGTCAGGAGGAAATAGCCGAAAAACATCATCCGTGTAAGATCAGTGTTATTCTATAATTTTGTAGGGCTCTTTGCTAGTAGCAAGGGCATCGCTCCTGTTTTCGTCGGGTCTTTCAGTTCACTAGTAGCTTCTTGTTAATGCACTTGTTCCCAGTAGCGATGGCCTCCAACCTAGTAGCGTCCTTGTTACCAGTAATGCCCTTATTACTATAGTAGGGCATTACTAGTAGTAGCTTCTTCTAGCTAGCAACAATGGTCGTTTTGTTTCAGTTCTTCGCCGGGTCTTTCTCAGGCAAGACCCCCACGAGTCCCACGAGCCCGGAGCGCAGTGTGGCACGGGAGCAAAATGCCGCGCGGCAGTGCCTTGGACACGAGGAATGGGGAAGCTTTGCTCACAGACAGATCTGAGCCAAGAGGATCTATGAAACAAAAGCAATCCAGTGTATTGGTGATGGCTGACTTTTTGGCTCACAAGTGACAAATGTCGAATCTGCTGGAATTGTAAGGAGCAAACTCATTTTCATGCCATTTTCATGCCGCAGGCCGTACTGCCCAATGTGTTGGGTTCTGTTGGGAGGAATCATATAATGGTGCCTTAGCAAATTGTATCGTTATTGGTCGCAAGTCTCAAGACCTGTTTGTCCCAACTGTTGTCAAGTGCTCCTGGCTGAGGTTTCTTTGGACCAGCCTAGATGCAGTTATGTTGCGGCCAGCAGAAACGGCCAGCAACTTGCCGGTTCCTTTGGCAGCTGCACGGAGACCCAGATTCCCACGGGTCTCAGCCGGTCTCGGTTGGAGTTCATTGGGCTTGACGACACGCGTGGCCAGGTCCTCACGCCCTTTGCGGACACGGCAGATTTTACTTCCTTGTGCTGGCCCCAGCAGCTCATCAGTTCTGGTAGAAGGATGTCAAAGCAACTGGAACAGCTTTTATGTATTATATAAGTGATTATAAGATATTATAAGTGTGTTCTTTTAAAGAACTGATGCAGGCTCTGTGCTGTCAAAGGATGGGAAAACAACAGCTTGCCATACCGTCCTGTGAATTAGCAAAATAGCAAGATAGGTCAAGCTGCTTGGTACACCTGAGAGATTCGGGGATATTCTTGTGGGCCGAAGACACTTGCTAAGATGGAAAGTCATGGAAAGTCGCTCTGGACTCTGAACACAAGTATATATATATATATATGTCTGTATATAATTTTTTTTTCTCTCAGATCAAGCCACTCGAGTCGCCTTGATACTTTCCCAGATTCTGCTCGTTGTGCGTGGTGCTTTCTGATTAGACCTTTCCTTCGCGGCAAGTCTTCCCAAGCAACTCGAGGCCTCTCTCTGACATCGGTTCTGACGAGCCTTTGAGATGCCCGCGATGTAGGCCTCACAACACTGAGATGGTCTAGTTTCTTCACAAAACGATTCACTCATATTTGGAAAGCTGGAGCCGGAGCTATCAGACATTGCTTTTGCACTTGTATTTCACAATCTCTCCAGATCGCAGGTGCTATGCAAATCCACATTTCAAGTGGAGTGCCAGGGAAAATCGAAAGCTACTTGGCTTGATTTGAGGGCCGCAGGCCCTGGTGGGACCTTAATTGACGTCCGATAAAAAGGACGACATCCTTGTGTGGACCACTGAATCCTCGGGTGCAAAACCAGCAAAAAATATGCATCATGTCATATCTCATTGAATTCCTGTTGGCCTTTCGCATTTTGAAGTTCTCGATTTCTGTGATCAGCCAGATGATGGAGGGCCAGCAACAGCAACACACACGGTACACCTTGCAAAGCACATGCAATCTCCAAGAAGCTTTTTGAAGCCAGTGGGCAGAGGGAAGCTGGCGGAAGCAATAAGGCTCTCCCAACATCTCCCAACTCCCAACTGCTCCTAATTGTAACTTTGAGGTTCACCTGCAACATGTGCAGTTGGAAACTCAGTGTAGCCTCGGAGCGCTTCTGAAAGTTGTTCATTGTTTTTCATCGTCGGTACCGACTTTTACCGACCTCAAGTGAGGAGAGATAAATGTGTGCTCAACAGTGATAGAGCAGACAGGAATTGCAACACAAGCCTGATCGTACGCCTTGGATGACCTTGGAGGAATACCAAGAAAGGGATTGCTAAGTCGCTCTACATTCCTTGTACACGAAAAATGCCTTGTTGTTTCTGTGCATATTTTACACTCATTGGGAGCCTTTGCTTGTGACTGTTTGTGCACGTCACTTGAGGCCATAGCCTGGATGTTCCTCAGAAGTTCTTAGAGGATATGGAGCGCAATGGCCAGTGCGCGGACTGCCTGGGCATCGCCGTCAGATTTCGCCGTCAGATTTTTACAAATCTTGAGTTTTGCTCATTCTGAACCGGTTCCCTTTATTCTCCAATGTGAAAGGACCCAAAAACCAAATGCCAACAGCAGCATCAAATATGGAGATTTGTACAAAGGGGATTCCAGCTTGTTGCTTGCTGAGTGCGCAGCTAAAGCTTATATATATATGTATGTATATATATATATTATAAGTAAGTGAGATTCAAGCCTAGTCCTTTTCATGAGTCCATGTGATGCAATCACAGATAATGGATTTGAACTTGTGAGTCACATGCTCACCTCTTATCCCTGGTGGTTGTGCAGTCAGGTCACCAGTCACTGCAAAACCACTCATGTGGGGATTTCTCAGTGTGCTGGAAAGGATGAAATGCGTATTCACCGCTGCATGTTGATGCGGCACGGGGTAAATTGTGGTGCACTGATGGGTCGTGCGTAATTATTTGCCGTCAAAGTCACATTGCAGGATGCAGACACGCATCCGGAGCTGGTCTATGGATCAGTGGACTTCACAGCCGGGGCATTGATTGAGCCAGACCTGCCCGGGCAGCTGGTCCGAGCTAAGTGGTCGAGGAAGGAGCTGATTTGGATCTCCCCATTCAAATCCCTGTCCGCCAGCCTGCCTTTGGTAAGAGAGAGACGTCATAGTAATTAGACAAGCAGAACCATCATCCTCAATACATCAGGGCTATAATCTCCACATTACGGGGCTCAAACAGACACAACAAGCACAGGGCATTATATAGAGGCATAGCACGGTATACCAACGATTGCTTTTTTCGGATACACTCTTTGGTTTTAACAGCCATGGGGCTTGCTGGATTTTGATGTGCGATTGCTACGGGAGGAAAAACAGTGGGATCACATTTCTATGCTTTTAACTGATCCCAAATGAGTTGGAGAGCATTATTTTGGGATGTAAGGGCCAGCTATGGCTGCATGATGCTCGACCCAGTTGACCCAATCGACCCAACCACGCCTCCAACCTAACACCGGCAAACACTGTCGTTTCCTTTTGCATGTTTTGCTGACCCGGAAGTCGTGCCTTCCACACAGCCGTCGTCCCTCAGGCCCTTCGTTCCCTCGGTGTGCTTTGCCATCGAGACCTCACCGGATGCGATCTCCAGTGGCTTTACCAAGGCAGCCTTGGAAGCCTTGGAGAAGGCCTTGCAGGACAGCCGGGAGAGTTGAAATGTTAAAAGCTGCGACGTCACTTTGTCTTCCACATCAGAACTGGAGTGTATTGGCTATTATTGGCCGAGTCAGCTTAGATTATGTGGAGTGTGTTCATCTCAAAACGAGGCACCGCACACTTTGGAAAGGGATGTGTACCTTGTCACATTTGACGAAGCCGCCACTTGGATCAATGCATGTCAATTCCTGGAAATTGACTGGAAAAGGGATGCAAAGGAAGAAGCTTGCCCAACAAGCCGAGTTGGGCTGTGTAAACTGTTTTAAGTGTTGTTTAAATTCTAGATTCTGGATAATCTCATTCTCATTCTCATGATCCATCAATGCCATTGTCGCTTCTCAAGGTGACCTTCTACGTGCCGATCAGTCATGGACGCTTCCGAGCAGTTGTCATGCCCGATATGGAAGAACCGTTTGTTCCGGTTAGTCCGGAATCACTCGGAGTTACTTTGGCGCGATTCTTTCTTGAAATCAACACAGTCCAAAGTTCGTCACACAAAATGCTGTTTCAACAGTGACGCAGTGGAACACAGGACTTTTTTTTTCAGCCGCTGCAGGGGTACTTCCAATGTAATTAGAGGGTGCTTTGTTTTCGAAGTGTCTACATTGAAAGAAGGGCTGCTGGTTCAGATTGGCTGATCAGTTACTAACCACTGACAAGAAGCGACTGAGGTTCATGTGGCAGACCCAGACGGGAAGGAGATGTTCTTGGAGCTTCTTAGATGAAAAATAGGTCAAACATGAAAGCCGGACACGCATGAAAACATGAAGGCTTTAGTTTGCAACCTGGGTTTGACCTTTGAAGACTAATTAGGCTTTTTCCTTGCTCGATATGCCAGCATGGATCAGCATGGGCTACAAGCAATTCTGAACTTTGTTTTGAACCAATAAGGAAAGGTACGTGTCTATTAGGTTTGCTTGACTTCCATCTCTCGGGTTCTGTCATATAGATTCTTTGCCATTAATGATATATCATATTACCTATAATGTGTTTGTTCATTTGTCTTCACTCATTTGCCAGCGATGTCGTTCTCTCGGCGCTAAATGGAAAAGACTCACTCATTTGCTCAAAATGTGATCTTGGCAGTATGCAACTTGCTGTTGTCTCCAACGTCTTGCAGCTGTGTGACGCTTTTTCACAACGAAGCAGAGCGAGGCTTCTCTCCACACTGCAAGAGGAATTCACCGACGAGGCATCTCCTCAGTGCGGCTACGGTGGAGAGGACTGCATCGCGTTGAATCTATTTTCCGGCTTCTGGGATGCTGTGTTTGAGGAGAGCCCAGATCCATTTCACCTGGGCGAATGCCAAGATCTCACCAGCTCCACTGTCTTGCGCACTGGTGTGCAGACCTTGGCTGCCTTGGGTGGTGGAGATTTGGTCCTTTTCCAGGCACAGACCTCCGCACCAAGCGATTTTCTCATGGGTGTCTTTGGAGTTGCTAACTCTCAAAAAGAAAAGAATATGCTTTTGAGTTACCAATAGCAATGGCCTCCACCTAATAGCGATGGCCTTCGACTGATTTCCTGACAGGTGTCAGTGCCATCAACCTGGGGACCAGAGGAGGCGCCGGAAGACGACGACGTGCTGTCTCCGAAGGGTCCATCTTCCTCGCCGAAGACACCCAAGACGCCCAAGACACCCATCAACATCACACCACTGAAGAGCCTTGGTTGCCATTGGCGGTTATTCTATTCTTCGTTGTCTCTGCTGTTTGCTGTAGAACTCCAGATTGGTTGGCAACTTTTGAGGATTCTGTCTCAGTCTTTCTTAAGTCATTGTTCAGATATCACTTGCATCAATTTTGTATTTGAGCTTACAGCATGGACTTGTCTCACGAATCTCTCAAAGGCATTGCATTGGTGGCAACACATTTGGTGCTCATGTTAAAGCTGGGTTTGATCCTGTTGGATCGCACCCATTGATCCTGGCCCTCCAGCGGTTTCACTGGCCTCAGCACAGGAAGCGAAAGAGAAGCTTCCTCGAAGAGATGCATCGAAGTTGCTGTCGCACAGGCCGACAGCGACCGTCCAGATCGTGGTACTTTCAATTACGATTGCACAACAATGGCTAGATTGTCATTAGCAAGCAGCCCTGCTCGCAATCCAGCATGAACTGTTCCAGCAGAGCCATGTTTGCAGGCGTGGCAGTGTCGGCGGTCACTGCAACAAGTGATGGAGATGTCTCAAGGTTGCATTGGCTTCCATGGCGAACTGGCGGTGATGCTCCTTGGGCTGATTTCACTGTTGATGTTTATTAATCCTGCTTCCAAGGGCAGCAGAGCACGTAGCACGTTGTATTTGTGCACATGAGGGCATATATATATATATATGCTACCCCCCCCAAAAAAAAACACCAACGTTTCAGACAAATTTATTGCTGAGAGTTGTCTTTTCTGTAGGTGGTCCATCCCGTCCACCCTCGATCCCCCCAAATAAAGAAGTTATTCATTTATTGTTGGCCGCCAGGAAGTACAAATTAATTTCAATTAACTCTTGACCACCAATTTTAATTTATATTGATTGGTGGGGCTATCGGCTAGCATATATTATCATTTTGGATTGCTTTTATATTATAGAAAGTTTATCATGTAAAGTATAAAAACCATTAAATATGTTGACCATTAATTTCCTCCACAAGCATTATTCATTACCAAACAAAAAGGCTGCCGTCAATAAATTAATGGTCAACCAAAAATAAAATACTAGCCTAGCAATTGACCGGGCATTAATATTTTAATAAAATAATGCCCTCATGATTATAGATTAAACACATAGATTAAACGATACCATGAATTTTAAAGAATGAAAAGATATAAAATTCATGGGCATCATCCAAGAACCACCAAATAAACATAAATAAATGGTGGGCATTCTATCTTTATAGTTCTAGAAAATACCATGAAAATCCATGAAAGATAGAATGCTTCTTGGATGATTTGTTCCTTGGCAGTTAATGGTCAATAGTTCTTTGTAATAGACGGTTAGCTGTAAATCCATTAACTGCCATATCTTTAATTATTCGTTCATTCCCTTTATTTTATTATCCATTAAACTATTTTATTCTCCATGAAAATAAAGGATCATTCACTTTCTTTCAGTCTTTCTTATAATTCAATGAGCCCATTTTTCGTTCATATTAAATGGGCGGTCATTTTATTATTAGTGGAATTACTTAATGGATTATTAGAATATAGAAAATGTAGATTAACAATATGATAAAGAACAACACCACAAAGAATAAATGGAAATAGACAATGAAAGACAACGAACCTCTTCAATGTAAGATTGTAAACATAATCTCCTCCACAAAGCCATTCTATAAAATATGGAAATGGAGATAATACATTTGTAATTACTGTAACACCCCATAAACTCATGTGTACTAAAGGTAAGACATAACCCATAAATGCTGTTGCCATTATAAGAAGATTTAATAATTCAAGAAAACCAAGTATTGGCATTATGGGGCCTTTGGGGGGTGCATAAATTTTGGTTTTTTTTGAGCCTGCCAAGGAATTTGCTATTTTTTATATACCCCACCTTGCAAAAACACTGGCAGGCTCAAAAAAGTCAAAAATTTCAAAAGGCCATAGTCACAAAACCCTGGCAGGCTCAAAAAAATCAAAAGTTTTAGGATCTATGGGGGGTCTGGGGGGTGTATACATTTTTGATTTTTTTGAGCCTGCCAAGGAATTTGCTATTTTTATATATACACCACCTTGCAAAAACACTGGCAGGCTCAAAAAAAAACAAAAATTGATACATCCCCCAGACCCCCGATAGATCCTAAAACTTTTGATTTTTTGCATTTTTTGAGCCTGCCAGGGTTTTGTGACTAGGGCCTTTTGATTTTTGTTTATTTTTTGAGCCTGCCAAGGAATTTGCTATTTTTTATATACCCCACCTTGCAAAAACGCTGGCAGGCTCAAAAAATCAAACATTTCAAAAGGCCCTAGTCACAAAACACTGGCAGGCTCAAAAAAATCAGAAGTTTCAGGATCTATCGGGGGTCTGGGGGGTGTATAGATGTTGAGTTTTTTGAGCCTGCCAAGGAATTTGCTATTTTTTTATATATCCCACCTTGCAAAAACACTGGCAGGCTCAAAAAAATCAAACATTTATACACCCCCAGACCCCCCATAGATCCTAAAACTGTTGATTTTGTTGATTTTTTTGAGCCTGCCAGGGTTTGTGACTAGGGCCTTTTGAACTTTTTGATTTTTTTGAGCCTGCCAGTGTTTTTTCAATTTTTGGTCCACCCCACCTTGCAAAAACGCTGGCAGGCTCAAACAAATCACACATTTATACACCCCCAGAGCCCCCATAGATACTATTTTTTTTCTATTTTTTGGATTTTTTTGAGCCTGCCAGGGTTTTGTGACCATGGCCTTTTGAAATTTTTGATTTTTTGAGCCTGCCAGTGTTTTTGCAATTTTTGGTCTACCCCACCTTGCAAAAAATGCTGGCAGGCTCAAAAAGAGCCAAAATTTATACCACCAGTATATATATATAGTTCATATTAAATATATAGTTGATCAGATGTAGGAGGATGTTCATTTAGCATTTTGATCAGACGCCATATGCACATTGCAGATTCAGATTTGTTGGTACCCCCCACCTCCCCTATTTGTCTGAACGTGTTGTTTTTTTGGGGGGGGTACCATATATATATATCATTCCAGCTTTCTTTCTTGGCATGTATAGTACAGTTGTAATTTGTTGTATTTACATGTTGACTTGCTTGCTAACATGCCAATCTTTGCAGGAAGTTCATTGCCAAAATCAGCCAACGCTAACCCACGAACAACTATACATTGCAAGTCTTAACTTTGTCGATGCTCAACATGTCCAGTCGGAAGCATTGGTTGAGCGCTGCGAGCCAGGTGCTACACATGCCGAGCTTCACTCCGACGGCCACTCAGAGCATGTCCAGTCACTTGCAGCATTGGCTGCAAAAGATGCAAGCCAGTGACTCGTCTTATATGGAAATTGCACGCAACGTGAACAAGCTGCACATGGAGAAATGGAAATGAAGTAGGGAGACATTCAGTTATATATATATATATTATATGTCATGATGAAACATGAACAATGTTGAAGGACAGTTTCCAAGGTTTGGCAACCCTCAAGGTTCTCGCTTCCTACGATTGCAACACCAAGGTGCATACAACTGCGTTGTGAAACTCCGATGCAGCAAAGGCCTGTGTGGGACATGTACTGTTGGATCCATTCATTTGCCTTTTCAAGGTTGGTTTGATGGCAACGTGTGCAAGACAAAATCAAAGCAATCTGAATTGGCAAGTGGATGCAAATCACCAGCCAGGTCTGAGCTTGAGGGTTCACTCTGTCCTACCGGTAGCGCTGCTAGGTCTCAGTTGCAAGGCTTTGTTGGCACCATGGCCAGCAGCTGCCTCCTCTGAAGACCAAAGCGCTTTCGAGGTGCCGACTCCTCGCCTTCCCTCGCTAGAGGCATTAAACATAGAACCCGAAAATTGTGTGGATATTTTTTCTACTTCTATGTTTGTGAAAAAGTGTGACGGTAATAAACTTGGAAGTCAACCTATGCTGAAGCATGACCAGATTAGGATGACCATGACGCGCTTCCATGTTTAATAGCATGGCTTAAAGACGAGAGGCATTCAAGCAGAAGAGTATGTATATAATATAACATAATTGAATGTTTGAATGTATGTAATATAAACATGTTTAGCTAATGTATACAAACAACACCTCTGTATGTTACCCCCCAAAGAAAACCACTTTCATACAGGAATTCAGGATGGCGGCGTCAGATGATGTGGGCTCAATGTTGCTGGCCCAAAACAGGTGAGGGCTTGGATTGGATTGAAAAGCTCCAATCAGAGCACTCCCACATGTGAAGCAACAGCTGAAGCAAGAGGTGGGAGAGAAAAAAGGAAAGACTAGCAGTTTGCTCTAGGGACTTCCCAGTATTTTCACCAGTAAAACCCTGTCTAATAAACATGGAAGATACCCACTGGTGAAGCCAGGACCACGAAAAAACTGAACAAGATGGAGCCCACGAACCCGAATGCAAACACGTTCGAAAAGCTACATATGTCCAAATGACACTCTTGTAGGACACTCTTGTGGGACACTCTTGTAGGAAACTCTTGTGGGACACTCTTACGGGACACTCTTGTGGGACACTCTTGTGGGACACTCTAGTAGGAAACTCTTGTGGGACACTCTTGTAGGAAGCTCTTGTGGGACGCTCTTGTAGGACACTCTTGTGGGACACTGTTGCGGGACACTCTTGTGGGACACTCTTAAGGGACACTCTTGTGAGACACTCTTGCGGGACACTGTTGCGGGACACTCTTGTGGGACACTCTTGTAGGACACTCTTGTGGGATACTCCTGTAGGACACTCTTGTGGGACACTCTTGTAGGAAGCTCTTGTGGGACGCTCTTGTAGGACACTCTTGTGGGAAGCTCTTGTGGGACACTCTTGTAGGACACTCTTGTGGGACACTGTTGCGGGACACTCTTCTGAGACACTCTTGTAGGACACTCTTGTGGGACACTCTTGTGAGACACTCTTGTGGGACACTCTTGTGGGACACTCTTGTGGGACACTCTTGCAGGACAC